GGAGCAGGGCTGATACTTGAGATACTAGACCAGCATTGAGCAAATAAGAGAAGTTGAATGTTGGGGTGATATACAGTTTAAGCTGCATTGTGTTATGTTTCACTATTGTACGGGGAGAAAAACATATTTCACAATAAAAAGACAATTCCAAAAAATTATTTTCTAATCAACTTTCTCCCACACAGGATTTCATCCAAGATTCTCAGCGTTTTCTTAAAAGACTCAATCACTACATGGGAAGTTTTGGCTGTGAGTCTGTCTGAAAACAAAGGTAAGTCTTTATATCTCTGATAGAATGGCACAGGTATTTACATTAAAAATAATGGCAGGTCTCTAGACCTTTAAGGAGAAGGAGCCTTGACTGCTGGAATCATTAAACTGGGAGGGGTCGGTAATATGGACCCTCTCCCTGTATGTGGGTGCCAGCGAGAGCTGATTGGTGAATAGAGATTAATAGGTGGGGATATGGAGATTAATAGGTGGGGATATGGAGAAGTGATAAAAAGCCTGAGGGGAGGAATTTCTGGCCTCTAGACATGTGCACTGCCAAAAAATTTGTTTAGTTTCGTTTAGTTTTAAATTCGGATTTGTGTTATTTCGTTTTTCGGGATTCGGGTGTGAAAGTCAATTCGGATTCGGAATTCGGATTCGGACGAAATTCGGTAGCGGTAGGTCGAACGTTCGTTTCGTTTTCTGTTCTTATTCGTTTCTTATTCATTTCTTATTCGTTTCGTTCGTTCGTAACATTTGAGGGGGAAAAAATATTTTTCTCCTTCTCTAATGTCACTTTGCTCCAACGAACGAAACGAATAAGAAACGAATAAGAACAGAAAACGAAACGAACGTTCGAACTACCGCTACCGAATTTCGGAAATGGAAATTCGGATTTGTTTGCATTCGTTATGTCTGTAATTCGTAATTCGGATACATCCGAATGTCCGAATTTCCGAAAATTCGTCCGAGTTTCGATTCGGAACGAAACGAATCGCACATGTCTACTGGCCTCTTGGGAGCTGACCAGCAAGCTGAATGTGCCCATCCACCCTTCCTCTTTTCTTTGAGTTGTCACACCTTTGTTGGCAGTTGTTGGACCTTGCCAGCTTAATTCGGTTACCACATTAGCCTTTGCTGAAATGCCTTGATGGTTGGACGCCTGTCTAGAACTGATGGAGAAGACAGGTGGTCAATGTTATGTTATAAGGTTATGTTGTTTGGGTGCTCACAGTTTTTCTGTGATTGGCACAATTTAATGGAAAAATGGAAAAAAGAGTTATGTATTATGATGTTAAAGTCAATAAAGCTGTGGCCTTGCTCTTCTAAAACTCATAAGTTGTCTAGTAGTTTATTTGGTGGTGGGAGAACAGGGAAAAGAAATTGTTCAAATTACGTGAGTTAACTATGATTCTCAGCAGTCATGTTGAAGATGTTTTTACCTAATGTAAAACAAAAAATTGCTTCCATCCTCAAAAACTGTCACATGCCAGACGTTCTAGCTAGTACCCCAATGCTGATGGACACAGGCATCTGCCAAAAATAAGTTGCTTCTTTTTGTGGAATTGTGGAGAAAAAGTGGAGCTCTCTACATCAGACATCAGACATGCCCTAGGCAAACTAACCTCCTAAAGAACGGGTTAGAGGTTGTACCGCCCCCCCGTACCTGTCCATAAAATGCTGACCAAAAGTTAAAAATCCCTCGCAAAAATGTATGAAACACTTCCCATATCCCAAAATCAAACTCTGTGGTTCACGCTTATAAACTATAAAAATCTCGTTATGATTCAGAATAAAGAACAGAATTGTGATTGTTTTTCTAAGGGGTTTATTCACTAAACTGCCAAAGGCAGCCGATTGAATAAATGAGCCGAAGTGAAGTGAGCCGAATGCTGTTCGGCTATTCACTTCAGCCTTGTACAGCTGATTTCAGCCGTACATCGGCTGCATCTCATCCAGATGAAGGAGGCATATGATATTTCTTCATGTAGGATGGGTGTGATTTAGGATGGATGATGTTTTCTCACGTAGGATGGCTGTGATTTGGAATGCAATAGTGTTTCCTAATGTAGGATGGTAATGATGTTTCCTCGTATTGGATGAGTGTGATTTAGTTGGAGGCGGTGCTTTCTCAAGTAGGATGTGCGTGATTTAGGATGGGATAAGGTTTACTCTTGTAGGATAGGATTGTGATGGTGTTTTCTCTTGTAGGATTGGTGTGCTTTAGGATGCGTTGGTGTTTTCTCTTGTAGAATGGATGTGATTTAGGGTGGGGATGGTGTTTTCTCTTGTAGGATGGGTGTGATTTAGGGTGGGGATGGTGTTTTCTCTTGTAGGATGGGTGTGATTTAGGGTGGGGATGGTGTTTTCTCTTGTAGGATCTGCATGATTTAGAATGGGATAAGGTTTCCTCTTGTTATGGTAGGCTGGGGATGATGTGTCTTCTTGTAGCATGGGTGTGATTTAGGATAGGTTGGTGTTTTCTCATATAGGATGGGTGTAATTTAAGATGAGTGTGACTTATAATGGGGATGGTGCTTCTTCATGTAGGATGGGTGTGATTTAAGATTAGTATGTTTTTCTTGTCCTGTAGGAAGATTGTTTTTGGTTGAAGATTTTTCATGTTTATTTTGCTTTTTGTGTTTTCATTGGCAGGAATCTGTGTGTCTAAACCACATAATATTCAGGTCGCGCTATCCTTCTTCATTGATCTCCGACTTCCATATGCTGTAATCAGGAATGAACAAGTTGAGATAAGAGCCATTCTCTACAACTATGGCAACAGTAAACAAAGAGTAAGTTAATCCGTTTATCAGGTGATAAACAAGCCCAGGTGATAACATGAAATGAATGGCTTATATAGTAGAACATGATTCATATCATGTTTATCAATAAAATTTTCTATTATAGATTTGAGGTTATATCTATCCAAAATGTACTGTTGAATAAAGGCTCTTTATATCTCTTATCAACTCCTGCAGAAAGATCTTAGCACCTAAGGTCCTTTCTATGGCCATTATAAGATGGGTTCATTATCTCTGATGGAATTTCCATAAGTTTGTTTATTTTTCTGTACAGAGAATGCAGCATTAGGGATGATGCACCTTCATTCAGCTTTGTAATGACTGAGGAAATTGGGCAGGAGGTATAATAATAATAATAATGCGCTGATTGATATTTCAAGCCATTGAATCTTATAACATGTCAAAGTTCTATCTGTCATCCTTTAGGGCCCATGCAATAATAGTATAATTGTGTATAAGGAAGATCACAGAACATAACGTGATCTTATACACCTAAGAGGTCACCAGGAGTCTTTGGCCGGATTACAATTTAAATGATCTCTTATATTTGGATTGCACTGAACTTTTTTTAAAATAGAACTTTATTAAAATGGCACAAGTGAAATTTCTTCAAGTTCTACGGGCACACCGGCGTGTGAGTCAATTGTACTGCATCACATCCCGCGGCTTTGAAAAAAGTACTGCATGCTGTACTTTTTCAGCGCATTCAACACCGCATCGCCCATGTTGTGAACCAAACCCATCTGTGACAAAGCTAATTGACTTCACTTGCGTTGAGGCTGCACTGGAAAAAAAGGCCAGTGAAGCCCCAACACATATGGTGTGAATGGGCCCCAAGTCCTGTTGTGGGCTGGCAACAAACACAACTTTTGTTTACTAAATGGTTTCAGTTCTGTCCAGTTGTCTTTTGCTGAACTACTAAAACCTCATTTTCACAACATATTTTTATAATTTCCCTATAGTCCAAGATACGAGCTGTGAGAGCTCATTACACTCATAGAGGGCTTATTGTGATAATGCAGAAAGTGTGTACAGGAAATGTGCGAGATGTGTACAGTACACAGAACACCTCAGAATTTCTGGCATGGTTGACAGATATTTTGCACTTATTGAACAGATGTAACAAAACATTTTCAATGGCATATAGAATCGACCACAAGGGAGTAGATACGAGTCTATTGTTAGGGTTTACATACACTGAAGTTTATGAATTTGCAAACTTTGAAAAAAAGAGCACAGTGGTTCCCGAAGGTCAAATAACGCTCATGTGCTTTTTGTATTTATATTTTTGTCTGGTTTAGGTACGTTTGGAGTGGACTTACAATGAACAATTCTGCAGTCTCGCCACTTCCAAGAGCAAATACCGTCAATTTGTGGATGTAAAACCCGCCTCATCCGTAGCCGTACCCTTTATCATTATTCCACTGACCTTGGGCTTTCATGATGTAGAAGTGAAGGCATCTGGGCAAGGTATCTCAGATGGTGTGAAGAAGAAGCTGAGGGTCGTGGTGAGTGAGAACACATTATGTTAGAGCCTCATTAGGTTTTTATTGCTATCTCGGTGTCTTTGTTTCGGAGAAAAACAGGAAGTGATGGTAACTACACAACAAAAAATTAGGATGCAGTTGTGTGTTCCTATTAGTTTTGTATAATAGTCATCTAACAGTAATAAATTTATGAGCCGCCAGGCACAAGTGTGCGTATTTGCACAAACGAAACCAAACAACCAAAACTCTAGGTCCTTTTTTTCCCCCTACATCTCGTGTCTAGGAACTCATATGTACACAATCCATATAAAGAAATATATTACCAAAAATTTCCTATAAGTACAACACAGCTTTAGTTACCCAAAATCTTAAAATACAGTTTCAATCGTAAGGCAGGATCCCACATATATAAAGTGTATAAAGTCTCAGATATTAATATAGAGGAGCATCTCACAATTGGACATTCCCTCATGGGGTTTTAGCTCAGGGGTATTAAAAATGTTGAAATGTATTAATACTTCACCATGTGTTAGGATAAATTAACACCGGCACATGGCAGGAAACATGTCATCAGCATGGCCAACCAAGGTGACCAAAGATCTTGAACCTGGAAGAAGAGACGAAGATGTTGGCACTGATAAGGAAGTTCAAGGACATCACATCGCTGGAAGAGAGGTGAGTATATTTTCACTCTAAGAAGACCAAAAGGAAGCAGATAAGAGAACGTCATTGTTACGGTTTACATACATTCAAGTTTTTGTAAGATAAAGTCTGATGTTTTATAAATGTGTTTTGTTTCAGCCGGAAGGAAGACGGGTTGTGCAGACCTTAACAAATGTCGTCTTAGATCCCGAAGGAAAAGGAAAAGGTCTGTAAATTTCAACTACATGTTGTTGCTCAGTAAATCCTTCTTAGAACAGAAGATATCACATGTCTCATTACATCACATATGCCAAAAATAAGAGGATTATTCATGACAGTGGGCGGGGCCATGCAAATCATTGCTTTTCACCCCATAGACCAAAACTGAGCAAATAAAATGAAATGAATTGTTGGGGTTTACATAGACTATAAGCACGGTGTAATGTTTACTGATTACATTCCTGGAAGTTGATCCGGGGACAATGTTAACATAAAAACCTGGGGTGAGCAGATGCTTTATTGTCTAATGTTTCTCTGTTAATGTTTCAGGCGGAGTGCAGGAGGAGTTAATCAAAACAGTAGATATCAAAAATATTGTTCCAAAAACAGACGTTGAGACCATTGTCACTGTCCAAGGTAAGTGTTTCAAGAAGCAATATTTATATCTAGTCCCTCAACAAAATCGCACTGCACTCTCCGAGAAATGACAACGCTCTCTATATGATAACATTTGTTTCGGGGTCTGTTTCTAACAGTCATTTAGATGCAAACGAGTTTAACAATTCCTGGACCTGGTGTCGACTTCTCATCCCCCTCTGCACAACATTGCTGAGAGATCAGACAAAAAAATATAACATTTTAGCATTCCCTGCAGCCCATCCAATGTGCATGGACTGTGCTCGTCCCCTTCAGCTGCTGGATGGGTCTGTGCCTAGAGGAGATACATAATCATCTCCATGCATTACCCACATTTACTCCCAAATCTCCCCATCTAGATCATGCCCCGGCATTGATACTTTATTTACTTTTACCTTGTTTCTGTATATATACTTTTTTCTGGCATATTTACTTTTACCTTGTTTCTGTAGCAAGAAACAGCTTTTATTTCTCCCTGTGATATGATCACCAGGTAGCTCAGTTCTCATTGATGTTGGCATGCCCCCAGAAATACATCTCCAAAAAGCTCTTTCCCTACACACTGGGTGTGGGCAGGCTCTTGAGAGTCAAGGTAGCAGCATTGTTTTGTTGGGAAATTAAAGAAAGTATGGTCCATGAATATCTTCCTACAATATATGTGTGCATATTTACAGCCACCTTTTTTTAAATAACTGTGCTTTGTAATACTCCATTATCCAATACTTCTACTGGTCCACTGCAATCATGTTCAGTCACCTTATGCCAGTGTGCTTCTGGTTGTGTCCATTGGGCTGCCTGAGGACAGGTAGACTAAACTGTGGCTGCTTGGCATCACGCCCTTACTGGTCCAACTAAAAAGCACAATGTGGCCATACCGCAGCTTTTAAAAAAAGCGTTATGCTTGACAAATGTGCTTTGTGCTCCACCACTTTCCGGATCCGGAGCACATAGAAAGGAATGCAAGATGTAAAAAAAAAGCCAGGAGAAGAGTATGGTCATGATCAACCTTCCAATTACAGAGTCTCTCTGCAGCGTTTAGCAATATTGAATTGTATGAACGCAGGCCACGGTACTGAGTAATACCACAGGTTATAAAAGAGCAGCGGATAGTGTTATTTGCTCTCCGTAATACATTGGTCTCTTATTGTCCACACACAGCTGAGCTGTTTAGCTCATGGCAGACTCGCACAACTTGTTTTGTGGCAAATGTTAATGGCACAGTTTAGAAGCAGCAGTTCTACATACTTGGTTGGGCTTCAAGACCTTCCTGATGACTGTTTTGGCCATTGAAAAGATTGATTGGCTGGTTGTGGGCATATATCGATGGGGGTCAGATGAGGACAGTAGCAAGACCCAGGGCTCCTGTGCTCTCATGGCTCACAGTGGTGCTGGGACCCACTGCAATCCTTATTCAGTGTTGACTGTGGTGCACAGGTGGAACATCTAACCCTTTCTATCCCCAGGTAGGTTTTTTTTTTTAAACCCAGCAATTAGTTAGAAGGGTGGGGGGGTAAATGACGCATTCTCGGAGATCAACTTTAACTCAGATCTTTGCAATTCTCAGGTACATCAATTAGTCAACTAGTGGAGAAATCCATTGATGGAGCCAATCTGAATCACTTGATCACTGCTCCTTGGGGTTGTGGAGAACAGAACATGATGAGTATGACTCCTACTGTGATTTCCACTCATTATCTGGATGCTACCGGTCAGTGGGAAAAAGTAGGCGTACAGCGCAGAACAGAGGCCCTCCAGCACATCAGTAACGGTAAGAAAGAGATGTCTGTACCTTCCATATGTACTGTGGTGGACACATTCTACAGTGGACCCCCAGTAAAACTCATAATTATTGTTCCATGAATTGTATGTGCATGTCCTTTGTCATGGGGGTATGACGGGACTTGGATATTTGGATATTGAGTGTTAGAAGGGGTAGGGCTAAAGGAAATAAAGCAGAACAAAAGCCGAAGAACAGGTATCCCCATTGGAAACTGTAAAATTTTGGGATTTCCCATCAATTTCTGCCCCAGTGACAATGGTCCCCAGGATGAGGGTGAACCTCCCCAGCAGGGACACAGAAGATTTGTATTTCAGAGAAGTAATGAAAATGCTTTTTTTTGGCTCATTATTACAATGGCTCATGTTCACGGTCTGACATGGTATCTCTCCCAGTTACCATTGCTTTTGTTTTTTGTTTAAATATGCAATAAAGTAACCTTAACACCATTGTTAATAATATTTGGTTTATTAATTGATTGCTTTTTGGGAAACAGGAATAACAAAACAGTTGACATTCCGCAAAGCAGATGCTTCCTATGGTGCCTGGATTGACACACCATCAAGCACATGGTAATAGAGACAACTTGTCGTGACTGCATTGTATGCCTTTATTTTAAGTTTGAAGTCAAGTTAAAATTGTTGTTTTTTTTTGGATAGAGTGAGCAAAAGTTAGAACTCCTGGCAAATTTGTATTTCTTTAAAATAGAATATTCTCAAAAAAGGCCTATACAGTCTCCCACCATACAGAGATGTTTAAAATCTGCCTATTATATATTTACAATAATAAACTTGTCTAAAGAACACTTGTGAACTGTGGGGTCACAAGGGGGATGCATGGGGTGCGGTCCGCACCAGGTAGCACCATTGGAGGGGGTGACACTAAAATGACTGGCAGTCATTTTGGTGTCACACCCTCTGAGAAGTCGAGCACTCAGTCATGGACCCAGAGCCTGACAGTTGCACGAGAGAGGAGGGGATCCTGCTGGGTGAACATCCCCCTCCTCTCTTGCATGATGATGCCGCTCATGCGCAATGATGTCACATACGCAATGGCATCACGCTCTGGGTGGCAGCACGCCTGGGGACGCCCCTGCTTGTGGAAAACCAAAAACACAATTACCATATATATAAAATAAAGAAAACAATCTGATTCCTTGGCTGGACAATTAAAAGTCCAACCTAAAAATTAATATCCAAATGAATTTGATAAGACTAAATTCAGTTTTTTTAGTTCTTTGTCCCCTCTATTCAAATCTTAAAATGGCTGGAATTTTACATTAAAAAGATCCTGACATGTGCGATTCTTTTAGTTATGAATTGAAATTCGGATAAATATCGGCATATTCGGACATTCAGATGCATCCAAATTTCCGAATGAAAGGAATAATGAATCTGAACATATACAAATTTTTGATAACGAAAATTTCAGATGCATCCAAAATTGTTTTCAGAATATTATTCAGAATAAATTGAAGTTGTTAAAAGTAAAAAAACACAAAACAGCATGGAGTCCCCTCCCCAATTTATCACAGACCCTTCAGATCTGGTAGGAATTATGGAAAAAAAAAGCATGGGGCCCTCCTAAAATCCCTTACCAGACCCTTGATCCGAGCAGCAGCCTGGCAGAGCAGGAAAGGGGGCACCCACATTACTACTTTCCAGTTTAGGTTAAGGTGTTGTGTGTTTATTTACTATTTTACTGTTTATTTGGTGAATGAATAGTGGTAACAACTGCCCCCTTTATTTACCAGATTCCTATAAGCCCTTCTGCCCACTGCTCCCCTCAACCACTAGGCCAGGGTTGTGGGGAAGAGGCCCTTGTCCTCGTCAACGTAGGTACAAGGTGCTTTGCCAGGGGGTCCCTTCCCATGTTGAGGGCATGTGGCCTGGTGTTGTGATTCTTATCCTTTGTGAATTGAGCCTATTGTCAGGGAGAGTACTATGAACTCAGTGAAGGGTAATAAATACCTGTCAGTGTTACATTTAAATATTTCTTGACAAGCATGCATTAAACATTAAAATATATATCTGATGTTAGGTCCATTTCAACTTATTTTCTGAATCCTCCAATGAAAAACTCAAGAAAAGACAGAAATGGCTATCTCTCAGAAGCTTTGTGACTCCTCCTGTGCTTATGTTGTCTGCTTCCCTGCTTAATTTGACTCCACCTGTGTTTATTCTGTCTACTTAATATGATTCCACCCATTGCAATATGATTCCTCTTGTACTCTACCTTCTCTGGCTTACTACTTTTATTATGATTTGTCTTCCGCAGGCTCACAGCTTATGTTGTGAAAATTTTTGCCCTAGCTCAAGGGCTCATCAACGTTGACAGAAATGTACTGTGTGACTCTGTGAAATGGCTTGTATTGGAGAAGCAGAAACCAGATGGCTTATTTGAGGAAAATGCCCCAGTATACCATCAGGAGATGGTGGTATGTACATTATAGACGTGCCTTTATAAAAAAAAGGACTCTTTTGTTTACCAAAGTGTTACTATTATTATTATTATTATTATTATTATTTTGCCTTTGCTTGCAGCTTCAATATTTTAAATGGGTATATGTTTCAAGTTATAATGTTTAAGTTGATTTTTGCTCTCAAGGTATCCCCATCGTGTGATATCTGCTGAGGTAACAGTCGGCTCAGACTCTGTTAGCCAATGTTCAATAGTGCAGATGCTGAAGGAATCCTATATCTCCAGAAACCAGCCCTAGATCTGACTCATCACTTGGAGTATCTAGGCCTAATCTTTCATATGGCCCTGTCCACGGTCTTCCCTTGTCACAATCTGGGATCCGGCTCAAAGTCCACAAAACAGCAGGCAAATTTGTGGTATAATTGGCCGGGTTTGTTACACAAGCAGACAGTAGTAGTATAGGAGCAGGCAGAAGCGTAGTCAGCATACAAGCTGAGATCAGTAGCCAAAGGTATCAGGTATGAAGTGGAAGACGATGAGAGTAGTCAGTGAATCAGCAGCCAAAGGTCGGTACACGGGTAGCAGTATGAGAGGATTATCACAGAGGGAGCAGAAAGCAAGATATTGGCAGGAGCACAATAATCTAGCAAACAGGAAGTGCAGAGGCGTGGCTTATATAGGAAGTTCAATGGAGGAGCAAGGAGTTCAGAGTGGGGATGCACAGATCGAGTACCAGTGCAGATACTTGGCATTTTCATGAGAACTACCAGGGTTGCAGCGGTTGCAGCTGGACCTAGCTCTGGCACTCCACCACTGTCCTGAAATCATTAGTCTGTATTGTTTTAGAAAAACTGTCACATGACAATAAACAAAAATGTATCAGTACTCGTACTTGTAAGTACTCGACAAGTACCAGTACTCGTACTCGCAAAACTGGTATCTGTACATCCCTTTATTTATATTTATAAAAACAAAATCATACATTAAAGCAGAGATGTACAAATCCCAGGAGCTCCGAGTGCTCCTTACAAATGACAGCTGCCTCCTAATTTTTGAATTTTTCTCTAGTGTAGTCTTGGAGCTCAAAAGTATCGGTACATGTTCTCGTACTTGTACCGAGTACTGTACTTGGTATCTGTGCAACCCTAGTTCAGAGTTAAGCAGAAACTAGGTTTACCTGAGGATTACACAGGAGATCAGGCAAGGAGCTATCCAAGGTTTCAGAGTGGCTCAGCAGGTACAGACACAGCAGAGGCCCTTGGTTCAGATCCAGATCCTGACATCCCTTCTCAATACTAACTCCAGTCTCTCTGCTCCCGAATTCAGACCATATAGTTCAGGAGCCTCCTAATCATCTTGGGAGATCTACCACCAAGCATGGTCTTGTTGGTCAGGCATATGGGATGAAGCGAATTAGACTGCTTGACCCACTCTACCAGTATGTTCAGTTGCAATAGTCTGGGGTAAAACTGGGCAAATGGGACTTCCTTGTAGGAGATAAACTTTAGGCCTTAAGCAAATGGTTGGGTGGCTCCTGGACCACAGGGTCTGAACGTGGGAGCCAAGAGACTGGAATTTGTAAAGGGGAAGAAAGAAAACATATGTAGTAGAATGCTAAACCAAGGAATTTTCCAGATCCTTTTTTTTCTAGATCTTCTAATTATCAACTGCTTTTTATGCATAAAAAAATTGAAGTCCATATCAGAATATTGACTTTTTCTGACTTGCTAAGTAACATGAATGTGAAAAGTGCCTCCACTAATTTGACTTCAGCAAACTGAAGTCAAATTTGTTGTGAACATGATTGGTTGTGGTGGGTTACGTTACACCAACACTACCCTTGACTCTGCTTTACTACTTTAAGCCTGAGCCAGTCACAGCAAACAGCTATAGTGGCCTTAAACTGTCAATTTTTATGCTCGGATTATATTCCGTTATAGTCATGTAACTTCATAACTTCAAATATTTAAGTATGTTTCTCTTGTACAGGGTGGTATTACAAAAGGAGCTGTTGAACTAGATTCTACACTCACAGCATTTGTCCTTATCGCTATGTTGGAAAGTGAGGAATCCTGTACTGGAACTGTAAATGTAAGTAGTTAAATTGTCTCTTGACTGCCCTAGTCCTAAACACTGATATTGCCAATGGAAAGACTCTCATTCTGTATGTTATCTGACTGTGTGTGGACAACTTAACGCATATCTGAACTTTTTTTCGTAATTTGGGAATGGTTTAAACTCCTGTCAACTTTTTTTGCTGACTGTACCCTTTGGGGGAGATTTTTTCTTCCATTCCTTCCTTGAGACGGAACAGGATGTGAGAGGGAATCTCTCCAAAGGAAGGAAAATCCTCTTTTAGAATATTGACACCATATGCCCCTATTGGGAGATTCCCCTTTATTCCTGCCCTGGCTTAAAAATCAAATTACTGGATTTTTCTCATTTGCAGTAACAGTGCTTACAAGGACAAAGAGAGAGAGTGAATCTCACCCTGATGGTACATAGATAGCAATACATAAATAAATAAATAAACCTGGCAAGGGTTCTATTCCTTCCATGCTCCATCAAAAACTAAAACAATATTTTGCTTTTTGAATAAGATGGACAGGTGGAGGAAATAGTAGATGGGGAAAGATAAAGGGATGGTAGGATGAATGGATAAGTGGATGGAAGAGTAAACAAATAGATATGAGAGAAGATGGACTGTTCTATAGATCCAGATGGCTGGGTGAACAGAAGGATGAATGGATTGATGAGTGGACTGACAAGTGGATGGATGGACCAATAGATGGTTATAAGGGAAGATAGATCAAAATATAGATGGGTGGATGAAGGATGCATGGATGAATGGAAAAATATATGTATGGATGTATGGATGGAAGGATAGGTGTACGGATTGATGGGCATATCGGTTGGCATATATGAGACAAAATGCATGGAATGAGGGCTGGGTAGATGGACAGATCAACAGAACAATGAATGTACGAGAAAGGCATGGATGGAAGAATGGACAGATGGATTTAAATAAGAATGTACAGGCTTAAGTGAAAAAGAAAATACTAAATATACACACCAGCCTATTGTTTGTCCTACAATAAAAACATGTAATTTTTATATATTTTTTAATATTACTTCTTAAGGCATTTGTGCTAATAAACATGATGGTAATCTATTTTTTGTTCTACAGAACCTGCGAAACAGCATTGACAAAGCTATAGCATACATTGAGCAGCAGTATCCAGTTATCAATAAACCATATTCCATTGCCGTCACTTCTTATGCCCTGGCCAGAGCTGGAAGGCTGGTGAACATCAATAAACTCATGTCTGCATCTACAGGTATAATTCAGACTAGGAACACCTGTTAGGCACTAACAGAACTCACAAACATTTAGTGGAATCCATTATTGCTGTCTGAGGCTGAGATTAAATTTCTCACTTGCTGTGAGGACGACACCCAGGCAGAAGATGAGTGAAAATCTCCAGGAGACACTAAGACAGAAACACAACGCTGTCTGATGCTCTAGCCTTTCCCTGCTGTACTATAAAGTAGTTTTTATTGCTGTCTGTATCTCTCTTATAGATCTCCTCTTACTTCCTGCCCTGGTGGCACATTATCAGGAAGAAAGGATGTATCTCTCCAATGGGGCCACATATGGCAGTACAAACAGAGAGAGAGAGAGAGATTCTTATCCATCCCCACTCTAAAAAACGTTTTTGGCTGGAGATCAATAATACATTATATTAAGGCTAGAATTGGTGGGTGTCCAGGGCCCCAGACTACAGAGGGGTGCATTAGGATATTACAAAGTTAGTTTTTAGCTTCTCAAGCCTTTCATTTTTGTCAGAAGGTGATCAGCAAGGGCAGACTTTGTATTCCTCTCAATAAAGGTTTCCTTTAAGACCCTGATGCCCAACCTTCAGCTCCACGGCCACGTGTGGCCCCTTGGTACTTGGTGTGCCGCCCCTTACACACACAATCAGTCAACAGAGTTAAGGGAGCATCGATTGTAAAGAAGCTGTGATGGCAGTGATCTCTAGCAGTGTCATAAAACATTTCAGCAATCTCTAACTGGACTACAGTATGTCTCCAGTCTGCAAGCACACCTTTTTCCTGCCTGCAGTCTCAGACAATCTCCTGTAGTATGTCTGCAGTGACAGTCTTCTGTAGCATTACACCAACTGAATATTGTGTGTGGGTGCTGTAAGTGGACACAGTTGCAGACCCTTTTAGATGACAGTCACTGTACCTGGGCGTATTATATGTCAGCATCCCACGTGTAGCTTGCAAAGAGTATACCACTGCATAGGACTAAATCTGCAGTTCAAACAACGCCTTCCAAATCCTGCAGAAATGCATTATAAGAAGCAAAGCACAGATGCCAATGGACACCAGCCATTATGTATGATCCCATTAAAGTAGCAGGGAGGCCATGCCCTGAAACAGCCCAGGGTACAATTAATCCACTGTTGCTGAAGATGCATTTTAAACTTATTCTTGGTCACATCTAAATGCCACAAAATCTCTTTTCTAGGTAACAATCACTGGCAGGAACCCGGCTCCCACCACCTATCACTGGAGGCTTCATCCTATGCACTCCTTGCTCTTTTGAAAATGAAAGAATATGAGAAGGCTGGATTAGTAGTTCGGTGGCTTACAGAGCAGAGATTCCATGGGGAAGTGTGGGGATCAACACAGGTATGGGCTGCTGCCAGTAATCCTATCTATCCTTATATTCTAACCTATGCTTTCCTATAACATTGCTTTTCTAAGCCTCATTTCCCCATGGTGAAGCTAAAAAAGGAGGACTACAACAATTAAATCAAGTGTACCCCAACTACTATATCAACCAATAGGCTGCAAAGGAAAATGGAAGGGGGTGGGTTTAAAACTGGATTTGGGCTTTAAATCATTGCTTTGTACAAAATCTACCTAGAGGGAATTGCATTTTCCTGACTAAAACTGAAGATTATTGGGGGGTGATACAACATGGATAGTAAAACAACAAGAATTCTTACAACTTAAAGTAGACTTTCCACACATGTATTAATCTAACCCTCACCTACCTCCTCCCACCTCCCTCTGACAGAATTGCAGGACAATATATTATTTACTTTCTGTCTTGGTCACAGTGGTGACCAGAACAAATAGAGAGGTTGAATCTCCCCAACAGAGACACATACCGCCCTAAAATGACGCAGCCTGAGGTGGTTTCCTCAGGCGACATCTCAATGGATCAAGCGGGCCAAGAGCCTTTAGCAACCTGTTAACACTCTGTCCAGCTTCCCATCCAGCTTCTGGCAACCAGTGACGTCAGTGAGGGACTCCAGACAGAGCTGGACGCAGAGGTAGCAACAGCCACCCCACAATACCCCCAACTTACCAGTAACATTTGGCACTAGCACCCCCCCTTCCCTCCTTAACATTCATCACTAGCATCGCATCCCTCCCTGCCCTTGGACGGCAAATACTGTAGGGACATCCCTGCAGACAGCAATACAAATTTGGCAGAGTCTAAGCCTTCCCCACCTATCCAAAACGAAAAAACTTACATATACTATACATATACTTTTTTGTTCTAAAACACAGATTCTCGTGGTGAGGGAATGTTAAAGGAGAACTATGGAGTTAAGGCTTTTCCCCATAGTTCTCCTTAGGGTAACGGGAGGACACAAACTAGCGTCCTCCCGTCACCCTAAGCTCAGTATACCGCGAGCTATAGCTCGCGGTATACTGAGACGCCACAGTATACCGCGAGCAGTACTATACTGAGACGCCGCAGCTGAAGCGGATCCCAACAATTATGTCTGGATCCGCCCAGCTGCATGACTGACAGCTTACTCTGCCTATCTAGAGGCAGAGCCAGCTGTACCCGCCCCCTCCCCCGTCCGATCCGCCAGACGTCGCTGGCGGAATGGAGCGGGGAGGGGGAATCCAGCGCCTCCCTTGTCACGGCAGAGAGCTGTGACAGGATCGAGAGGTGAGCGAACGCCGGTATGTGTTCGATCACTTCTCGATTTACTGAGCCGACCTGTGACAGTCTCATTGTCACAGGGCGGCTAGAACTATGAGGTGAGTGAAAAGCACTCACCTCATAGTTCTCCTTTAATCAAATCTTTACATCATATGAGAGCAAGCGGTGCACAGGTATGCATTGTAGATATCCATCATGCCTGTCACTGACAGCTCTGGTCTCCATTAATATTTGGGAACCAATCAGTTTCTGATCATGTGATAAGTGTGACAACTATGACTCATAATTACCCAATTTTCTTAGAAAAAAAAAACCTAGTCCAGGCATCAAGCCATTTCTTTCTATGCTATTTTGCAACTATTAGGCTTTTTTTTTCCAATGATTTTTTTTTCAATTAAATACCACCAAAAGAAAGCTCTATCTGCCATAAAAAAATATATACGATTTATTTGTACAGTGTTACATGACGGAATCATTGTTAGTCAAACTATCACAGCATTGAAAACTGAAAAATGTCCGGGTAATGAAGGGGTATATACAGGCTCGTACTCAAGTTAACAGACCAAAATGGAGCCAATAAGAGAAGTTCATTGTTATGGTTTACATACACTTTCATAATACAAGCTTCTCAAGAACCTGATGCTGGTAAACTTCTCTCGCTGTTTATTGAGAAACTGAAATTCAGAAAAAGTTCCATCATAACTAAAGGCAACACAATATACCGATGCCAGTAGCCCTCTGCCCCTGGCATTGCTAATTATTCTGTGCAATGACTGAATGTACCTTTTATTTTTATGCTTCCATTATAGAGTACAATAATGATTTTCCAATCCTCTGCTCAATACTACCTGGATGCTCCAGGCCTAGCAGAACTGGAGATGGATGTCACCTTCAAACTTCCTGGAAGATCAGGAGCCACAAAAATTCGTCTAAACAACAACAATGCTTTGAACGCCCGCTCAGATCAGGTAGGACCCGAATAACTGCATAGTGCGGTCCCTGACAGCTAGTAGAAATAGAATATTTACAAAGTATTGGGAGTTCATTAAAGAGAGTCTGAACTGTAGGACAGGAAGTTGGACCTATAGCTCTGCATTCAGTAAAGCTTGTGCTTCCTGCTCATTGGAGAGCTCCAGCTCTAATTTAGCAGGGGGCGTGTTTGACTCCTGTAGACAGACCACTGCTTCCATACAGAGAGCAAGGGTCCTTCTCTGCAGAATGCTGGCAGGGGATGGGCTTTTCTACTCGGGATGTGGATGCTTTCCAAAGAAATGAACTGTTTCGTTTTGATTGACCTGGAATGTATCTAGCTGCTTTAAAATGAAGGTTCAGTTGAGCTTTAAATAAATAAAGAGACTAGTTCTTAAAGATTGATGGCCAGGCTAAATCAGTTAACCCCCAGTAAGCTTCAGCTTGTGAACACTGCCCTGCATACCTAATAAAATCAGCAACGCAAGAGGTTGTAAAAATCTCCTTAGCATATGCTGAAGATGCTTAATGCGCACAATATGGATCATGTCATACAAGTGTGTAGATGTGTACATATATATGTATGTATGTACTAAAATATATATACAGTATATATTGTGACAGGACAGTGCCATGTCACTATGGTGATTGGTGTGTTTGGCGCCTAGGACTCTCAGATGGGCTGAGAGGGTCCAGAAAACATATAGTGTTACAGGGAAAGTGCTGGGTTTCCAGTTCTTTCTGGGTTTTCTTGAATATAAGTGGGATCTGGGTCTCTGGAGATTTCTAAAGGTGCCCATACACCTTACGACCATCGCAAGACTTTTGTCTTGCGATGGTCGTATGCTTAGTGAAAGCTCGTACGATCTGCCCACCTTGGACGGCCAGATCGTACTTGCGATCATCGAAAGCCCGCCCCGCTGAGGGGCGGGCTTTCGATGACCGCAATGCAGAATGGGCAGTGTGCGCTTGAATACTATGGTATACAGATGCAATTGCCAAACCAGACTGTCCAGGTGGCTGATAACAGCCCTATTAAGAGAGTGGACAGAAAGGAAGAGGCAGTCAGCGGTGCAGGAGTACATGCAGAGCCTGGGAGACTGTGTGTATGTGACGCATGAGACACTGAGCTGGAGTCTGGCTGGAGAGGCTGAGAGGGTCTGTGGCACGGAAGATAGATAGAAGATGTTGCTTGAAGATACACCCTGTTTGTGTCTGTTTGCTGAAAAGAAGCAATTTAAGTTCAAGTACTGTTTGGAGGAGTATAAAGTTGTCTGGCTAAGGATCCTTACCCTAAACGTTACAATATATATATATATATATATATACACACACCGGTATATATATAAATATATATATATATATATATATACACACACCGGTATATATATATATTTATATATATATACCCATGGGAACCCCCGCACTCTCTTTGTAATGTCATCCACAAGAATATCAATACAAATCCAAAGTAGATAAAGGGTCGCTCACAGGTCTTGCAGTGGAAATAAGTCAAAGTATCAGCATTTTATTGTCAACATTTCAAGGGAGCTCAGTCCATGGTAAGCAGATACATATTTTCCATTATTTATTTAGTTAAATTGTATTTGATATTATAATGAATGTATTTTAGTCATCACTGCTATTACTACTATGTTACTTCAGTATACATTCCATTGTTATTGTGCTTTACATGTTGGTCTTGAAGGAGGGGAAGTCTATTCCTCCAAAACACATTAGCTGTATCTTTTGTTGCTAACGAATAACATTTTTAAACAAAGTGTAAGTGAGACAGAAGTATGCACTAGGCCAGTGGTGGCAAACCTTGGCACTCCAGCTGTTTTGGAACTACAAGTCCCATGAGGCATTGCAAGGCTCTGACAGCCACAGACATAACTCCCAGAGGCAGATGCATGTTGGGATTTGTAGTTTTGGAACAGCTGGAGTGCCAAGGTTCGCCATCACTGCACTAGGCGCTCCTAACCACATATTTAGAAGTAAACAATTGGATTATTGTGTTAAGAAAAGCCAGCAGGCTTACCTTAAAAGAAGAAGGCAGTCAGCTGAATAGAGTGACAGCGGTTGGTTTCCAAGTGTTGGGTTAGTATGGCCATTTCAGAAGATTCTGCAGATTATTGTACTGGGCAGGTCATTTGGGGACGCTGATCTGTCATTTCAACTGGCCCCAGCCAGCCGTGAGCGCCGCCCAGCTGTCATTTGCGGGTTTGCCCCGCTTCGGCTGTCACTTTGGCTCAGGCATATGCCTTCGGCTTAACTGAGCCGCTCGGCAGCCTTCGGCTTCTGTACGGGTTGTTGTGAATAGCTCACACAGCAGCCCTTCGGTTCGACTGAACCAAAGGGCTCCGGTGGCCGAAGAGAGCCGAAGGATCAGCCAAAGCTACGGCTGTATCCTTTGGCTCATAGTAAATAACCCTCTTAATGTCACACAGTCTTGTGTTTTCATTAGGTAAAGGTTTGGTGGGTTAAAAGGACCCCCCTAATTGATGATTCTCTTAGTCATGTTAGAACCCACCTTTTAACACCTGTTTCTGCAATGCATGCTAGCACATGGCAGTTTTGCCCAAATTCTGAATGACGACCCAATGCACATATGCATACATATCTGATCTGGAGCACACTACAAAGCACTCGTGTAAAAGCTCTGCACATTGTGGTGTGCTGCATTGGCCAAAATGAGTGCTGGCGAGTTTTGTCATGTTTTTTTTTTTCATGTGCCTTAAGGAAATTGAACCTCAGTGCATGCAGAGGGGCGAATCGGCTTTGAAAGTATCGTTCTAAAGTGATGCTTGTTCCATAACAATAAGAGTTCTGTTTAAGATTGTAAGCCATTTGGACATGCTTCTCTGCATCTGTCTAACTAGGGAAATTTGATCTCATTACAGACTAACCAAGGTGGAAACTTTGTGGTTACTGCAGCAGGAAAAGGACAAGGAACATTGTCGGTAAGTGGTCAATATATATGATTATCCTTTGACAGTGTTTCTACACCCCGTCTTCCAATAGGCAACAGCTTTGGGTCATCTCACTTGGCCCTTCCTCATTAATAACATTTCAACATAGTTGCAAGCCTCATGAATATAAATACAAGCTAAATCAGAGATGACATATACTTCATTCAAACATTAACCCTCAATGTACTAAGTGTGGATCACAGGTGGATTACTCTTCAAAAGGAATGAGTCCCGGTTCAGACCAAATCTGGTCCAAACCTGAGCTCTTCCAAACCCAGAAGGGACATGGGGCAACCTGACCAATTATCTGCGGGGTGGAGTATTTCCTGCTCCACAGCTGCTCATAAACCAAGGGGCCGGATGCTTGTGTTGATGTCATGGGCTTTATATGGCCACATGGCCATATTAGGTATGTCATTGACCAAATATAGCAATGTGGCCATATAAAGTCAATAACATCACTGCATCTCGCCCCTTTGTTTATGCGCAGAGTTCCCCGGCCACAGCTGATTGTGCAGCAGAAAAAGCTTCCTTCTGAGTTGGGAGGACCTCAGGTTCTGACAGTGTTTGGCCTGAATCAGAGCTCATCCCTTCTCCCCAACAGGTTTCTCATCACCTGTGAAACTACAATACAACATTGTTTCCTGATCATAAAATTAAATGTACATCAATATATACTTTAAGACCCTTTAGTTTTAATATAGTCCAGCGTCCCCCAACCTTTTTTCAGTCACGGCACCTTTTAAAATTGTGCAAAATCTGGAGGCACCGCAGTCTTAAATCGAAAATCTGTAAATGCAAGAACGTAAAAAAATGACGAGTGGTCACCTCCACCACTACCAAACCCTTATCCGGGACATGGATCTGGCATGGATTTTAAGGTAGGACACAAATGCAAAAGATGCAGAGTTTCCCCCTTCACATCAGAGTCCCATTTCACATCAGAAGACCCCCTTTACATAAGGAGCCTTCCTTCACACCAGAGTTTTCCCCCTTCACATCAAGAGATCCTTGCACATCAAAGGCCCCCTCTCCTTTAGCCAAAATGTTAAGGCACTGCTGGCACAGTGCGAAGGCACCCCAGGGTGCAGTGGCACCCTGTTTTAGAAAGGCTGATATATTCAAATTAGGAATCCATTGCACCGCTCTCTTTTTTAATATTAGTCCCTGATTACCCCCTCTCCTTAAAAGAGAACTATGGGGTAAGTTTTTTTCCCCATAGTTCTCTTTAGGGTCACGGGAGGACATATGCTAACCTCCTTCCGTAGCTCAAAGCTCAGTATATAGCCTGCGATATACTGAGAGTGGCCCGGGACAGATTCCGACAATACTGTCTGGATCCACCCAGTTGCGTGAGTGGCAGCTGGCTCTGCCTATCTCGAGGCAGTGCCAGTTGTGCCCGCCCCCCCTGTTCCTTCCTCCAGTCAGCGCTGGAGAGTCGGGGAGGGGGGGGGAATCCCTGCGGGGACTGACAGTCACCGCTCACTGCAGGAAAACGATCAGGAAGTGAGCGTATCAGTGCATGTTTCTGCTCACTTCCCAATCAATAGAGCTGACCTGTGACAGCTTCTTTGTCACAGGTCGGCTGTAACTATGAGGATGAGTGGAAATCACTCACCTCATAGTTCTCCTTTAATTTAAAAATAAAACAATAGCCATATACCACAATGGTTCCGAAAACAAAAGTTGTGTATACCCAGCTTGCCTGGAGTTCACCTTTAATACAGTAATGACCCATGATTGCGCTTTCAATAATTGAAACTCCAAATAGAGAACTATGAGCAATGACAAGACCATGTGTGATGTTTTTGGGACAAACCCAGTATTCAAATAAAATTATGATGCAAAAATCTATGATGTCCAATTATAAGATGGCATAGGATGGCAAAAAAAAAAATTTTATTTATATCCTTTTTCTAAACAGGCATTTTCTGTGTACTATGCTATTGAGACAGAGAAAGAGAGACAATGCAAAAATTTTGATCTGTCTTTGAAAGTCCAAGTATTCCATTTTAAATAAAGTGTATGTGAAACTTTTTTCTAGTTTTGGAGATTGGATAGAGTGGAGAAGGATTATATCTCTCTTTGGGCTTTTACTGCTTTTGGGGATCCTTTAGAGAGATTATCCTTCGCTTCCTGTTGCACGAGCAACAGTCTCACTAGACAGGAAGTGTAGGAAAAGCGGCCACAGGGTCACATAAAAAAAACCCCCAATTTCTTCACCTGAAGTAGTGCACATTTACGATGTACTCCAGCAAAAGTGAAATTTGGGCTCCCAGCATCCCTTCTCATTAAAAATCCCCCAAATCTCCCCAGATCCAATAGCAGTGTAGAAATCCAATAATTGCAGGAAGTGAAAACATGGATCCTGCTCTCTCTAAGCCAGTACAGTGCAATTTTATTGATGCCCAAACATAAATTTCACATCAAGGCACAAAAAAAAAAAACATCCGTATCTATATATACATATTGTTTTTTCTTATTATTATTATTATTATTATTATTATTATTATTTCTGTTTAATTGTTACCTTTTCTGTACAGCTAAGGGACCAGAGGGCACCCTTTCTACTGTCTCACTCACCATTTGTACCAGGTAAGTGATGTAATAAATGGGCCTAGACAAATGACCAATTAAAGCTGGTGTTGAACCGAAATGTGAAACAGATAAGCAAACATAAAACAACCAGCCCGACATATAAAAGTCCTGGGGAAAGCAGTGAGCCAATCGGGTTAGCAGGAGATAACATTTTTTAGGTGTTTTCTGTACACTAATTGTGTTTAAAACACCTCATACATTATTTTCCAGTTTTAGAAAATCATAGCTGACTGTAGATTAAACTAGAAAAGTATTTTACATTTATTTGATTTTAAAATAATCCAATTAAGACTGGCGTAGCAATTATAAGTTGTGTCAATTGTGGTAGAGAGAGCCCGAACCGTAGAAGCTGTGCACAATAAAGGGCACACAGAAGGCAAAGGACTAGTCACCAGTAATGCTTGTGGCCTCCATGCAGCTGAGATTTTCCCCCTTATTGACTTATTTTGCCTTGTTCTTCACCATATCTCTGTGTGGAGGCAGCCATCTTGGTAGAAACAGGGCTATGCTTCCTCTTGTCAAAGTTCCCCCCCCTCTATGTTCCCCATAGTTCCACTTTAATAAGTAAAGCACATATATATAACATCGTTGTTTCTTTGCAGATACCTGAAGTCCCAAGACTCTGGCATGTCCATATTGCAAATATCAATGATGTCTGGCTTTGAGGCAGATGTTAATGACCTGACAAAGGTAAGCTCTCAGAGCAAAAGGCACTTTTACAAAAATAATTACCCCTTGCGATGCAAGAGTAGAACTCTTGTGTCCTTGATCTTTACAATCCAGTGGCACAGTAATAGGACTCACAGTGGTCACAGCAGTGATTAGCCAAGAGCCAAATATCTTCTAACTTTCTGAGATGAGAAAGAAAGTATATAGACAAAGAACAAAATCAATGAATATACACACGATTATTGGCAAAACCAACAAGTTCTTCTTTTCAATGGCCATATTCATACTTGCCTTTCAGGATAGCAAATGTAATTTTTAGAGGTTGGATGAAGGTTTTGTGTAGTGTAACACTTGTGGTACTAATAGTAATATAGTTTTTAATAGAGATCCCACCAAAAAAGAGGGACAATTTAGGAGGAAAGATGGACAGTTGAGAGCTATTCAAGTGTTGTATTGTCTGTTGTCAGCATCATACAATTGAAGGGAAGCCATGTCATAGAGAAGATAAAAAACATGGAAAGTGGGGAAAAAAGTAGTAAGCATGGGCATGTCTGGCTCACCATGAACCCATGGCCTATTTTTGGTAAAGGGAATCTATATGCTTGCACATCCTGTTGGGTCTCCAGGACAGGAATTAAAGGGACATTTTCATACAAAGAAGCATTTTAATTATTCTGACTAACTATACTTTAACCAACAAAAGTACACATGATGTGTGTAGTAGCAATACCCGGCTGTCAGAATGACAGCCTCCCAATCATTGGTTCTCCATGTAATCCAGACAGTCCATCATCCAAGTACTGTCCAGGCCTGGCCTTGCTTAACCTCTGAGATCAAACAGGATCTAAATAAATACAGAGAGATAAGCTCCTCAGTCTCCTGCTTTACCTTTTACCATCCAGTCACAAGGCAGGAGTGGGGAGAGTGCTAAACAGGGCTGTGCTGTAGGCAGGGCTGTGTACATCTCAGACTGGATGGACAGCAATAGAAATATTTTGTAATTACATCTCCCTGCTATGTATTTTATCTATTTTATGTATTGAGCTGTGTGCCTGGAGTGCAGCTTTGAGTTTGCCTATTCCTACCTATTGATTGTTTGTCATAGTAATTATATTTATCACACATTTTCCAATTTCTTGCAGCTTAAAAGAGGAGTGGACAGATACTCCATTTGCATATCATAGCACATACAAGATCACTTACGGTAGATGTCTAGGTATCACCTCTTCCTCTGGTTTAGCATTTCTTACAGGAAAAATAGAAAGGAGTTTACCTGGAATGCCCTATCTGCCAAGATGAATCCTGAAAGGTCTTGATGTTAAAGTAGAACTGAAGTCAAAACGTTTTTTTTTAGTTATAGATTGAGTAATGGGAGTTTATAAACCTTGTCGGCTTTTTTTGCCATCTGTGTCCCATTGGGGAGATTTCCCTTCACTTCCTGTCCGATAGCCACAACAAGAAGTGACAGAAAATCCCTCCAAAGAGAAGGAAATCGCTGGTGGTAACGACAACCAGTGGAAGATATTCCCCATCTATTCCTGTTCCGATGACAACTCAAAATGTGGGATTTTCTTTCACTTCACCTATTTTTTTGGAAGGGACAGCCTTGTAGACATTAATATTCTTCATCCCTATGAAGTACTAAAGCTCCCTTCATTCCTATGTAGCACCTACAGAGGCAGAAGAAGATCTGGATGTGTCCAGTGTCAATGCAAAACAACTGGTTAATTTGAATGTTGGCCCCTGCAGCATCTTATACACACATTGTTTTCACTCTCCCACCATTATGTTGTTCTCTTCAAAGAGTAATACTGGTACTTCTAGGTATGAGAAGCATGTGACTTCACTTCCTCCCATATGACAATGCTGGTGCTTGGCAATTAACGATGTAGGAACCAGCGGCATTATGTGGAGGTGGGTAGAGTCCTCACTAAAATCGATTTGGAGCTTACACAGGGCTGTCTCCCCTCAGTCCCAGCAGTATATTGAGTAGAGGGAAGGTGCAGCAAAAGCTGGATATAAAGTATATCTGTTGCATTGCCCTGCATGGGCAAAAGACAAGTGTACTTGTCACTCTTTGGTTGTCACATCTAATGCAGCTGCATTCCACCACCGTAACCTGCCAGAGAGAGAAGAGCAATTGAAACAAAAAGGGGAGGCAACAGTGTTCCAAGTGAGGATCACTGAAAAAGTGGTTACTGATAGACCGATAGTTTCTTATAAAAGTCTAAACTTTATTGTGATACAAAACATCAATTACCGCACCATCAACACCGCTTCTCAAAAATTCTCAAAAAAAGAACAGCGCTGTTCGTAGCACTCAAACACTCATTCATTCATCCTATGGGCCCCACACAGTCTACGGCACAGCAAAATCTTTAAGGGTTTAAACGGAGGGAATATTCCCGGTTCTGACGAAGCTCCGATAGGCGGAGCGAAACGCGTCCACCCTTGAATGTATGATACACATACTATGTGACCTGCACAGACGGCAGCTCTTTTGAGGATTTGGATCCCCGGATAATGGCGATGGAAAGACTCTTGTCTATTTGATCTACAAACCAGACCAAACTTCCCTATAATCTCCCTGAAGTGACCGCGGATAAAATCCAATGTCAGCGGCAGTGCTGAACTACAGGACTTCCGAGATTTACAAAGAAGGGGTACGAGACAACTAACTGTGAGTACGGTCGACTATAAAACAGCATAAAATAGTCCTGCACAGGTCTCCCCCTTGAAAAACACACAACATCAGGAGAGAATTATGGTTAAGGGGAAGTTTAAATAACCCAGTAAATCAAGTGAATGATACATCCTAAAAAATAGACCAACGAGAGGTGACTGTGTGCGGAGGTCAATGAATACACACTTGACTCCATTGGATCACATTATCCCTAAATCATATCAACCATAGAGACTTGTTTTTTTCAAATAATCCACAAACAGACATCACCCACTACAACTTTGGATGTATCACCTGCATAAAGAATCGGTTACAATCGTATCTTGAAGTAGATCTGCAACACTAATTACCTTGATCCAATACCATCGTCTAATGAGGACATAATCATTGAAAGAAATCAAGTGTTAAACTGGGAATATACCCTCCGTTTAAACTCTTAAAAATGTTGCTGTGCCGTAGACTTTGTGGGGCCCATAGGATGAATGCATGAGTGTTTGAGTGCTACGAACAGCGCTGTTCTTTTAGGGAATTTTTCAGAAGCGGTGTTGATGGTGCGGTAATTGATGTTTTGTATCACAATAAAGTTTATACTTTTATAAGAAACTATCGGTCTCGGTCTATCAGTAACCACTTTTTCAGTGATCCTCACTTGGAACACTGTTGCCTCCCCTTTTTGTTTCAATTACTTTTTGGTTACATACTTGATGACCAGATCAAACTACAAATAAAGGGATTAACTGAGTATATCGGAGCTCCAGGGAACACACATATCTCTTTGCAGAGAGAGAAGAGCGCTGGCTGCCACAGGACCGTGGATCAGGTAAGTATATCTTCTTTATTCCGGCCCCTAGACCAAAATACGTAGTTTTCCCGTGTGAGGCTAGTTTTTACAATTCCTGGAGTTCCTCTATAAAGCTGAAACTTAATCTGCTAATATATTGCCTTACCTGCTTCCTCTTTTCCCTCCTCATCAACAGGCAAATTATATTTGCAAATGAAACCTTTCCTTTTTATGCGTAGTAGTCATTAATGGGTAGTAATATGAACTTAAATCTGGCAAAAGTCACCAAGAATGAATTAGTTGCTGTATAGGGTATATTTAGAATCGGTAAATCAGGGTTTTTTCAATTCACTGATTCTAATTATACCCTATACAGCAAATAAAACATTCTTGGTGATGTTTTCCAGCTATGGGCTCATATTATTACCAATTATGTTTAAGCCATGAAGAAGGGGAAAGTCTTTGAGCTCCCACAAAAAGTTGGCTGTTCTATGTGGTCGTTTGTGAACCAACTCTAATATTGAACATTTTTGGACTCCTGGACTGTCCTGGATAGCAGTGAAACCTGAACAGGGATTCTAATCCTCCCCTACTCTATAAAAAACAAAAAGAGTTTTATCTTGTTATACTTCAACTTTTTTCATTTATTCTACACCTAGATATCTCACAGTGAGGAGCGGTGTCTGAAGTTTAATCTTCACCAGTACTTCAAAATGGGTCTCATCCAACCTGCATCTGTCACTGTGTATGACTATTACTCACCAGGTAAGAGCTTTTTCAAAAGAATATATATCCTATTATAAAAGGAATACATACCCAAAATCAGAAATCTTCAAATAGGTCTTATAAGTATAAAAGAGCATAATATTTTATGTTCCAATCTATGCAATGGATAGGTTGCACTGCCAGGGACATCACTTATATCACAAGTAGCTTATTATATGAGTGATGCAACCGTAATTGTGACCTGTTGTTTGTATGGATTTCACATAGAGTGGCGATGAGCACCCGGCATACCCACGGCTGCTGCATAACGGAGGGATGAGACCTTTGGCGTGGTGGAACTTTTGTATACTATTCTACTTGATTCTTCAAGCCTGAAAAAGGCTGACGTGAAGATGCTATAATTTTTCTTTGCTGTCAGCGTTTGAGCTGATCTAATTAAAAGAGCTGTTTTATAACTTTAAGACCTGTATGGAGATTGCAGCTATTGAAGATGGACATAATTTAACCCCTGAGCACCAAAAGGGTTGATGACCTGTAAAGTTGCATTCCCCCTGGAAGAAGGAATAAAAGCCTAAACTTCCATTGCTGGTCACCTTACAAAAATGCCAATGGCCTTCATGTTGATTCTTTGACTAAAATACTTTCTATGTCACCAATCTGGAACAAATTTGCATTTCTGGAGTCGTGACTTTACTGGATTTATTCATGCTGCTTAGCATAATTGTTAACGAAAATGGCCAAATGTGAGGTACTCCAATAATACTGTTTTTTTTTTTTTTTCCTTTTTCCCAACAGAAAACCGTTGTACCAAATTCTACCATGTGGATGAGGACAGCAAACTTCTTGGCAAGATCTGTGTAGGAGAGGTGTGCCGCTGTGCTGAAGGTAAATGTTGTAGGATGCCATTTACCAGTCAGTCGTGGGTGTTTGGGGTGCCAGTGTGCACTGAGTTTGAGTTAAAGGCCAACCCCAGAGCCCTTTGCTTATCAATGGATTAGGAGGACCCTGTTCATGAGAGCTTACAATCTAAAAAGTAAGTGGTATGTGATACAAAAGGCATTAACTGTGAGGGATAAGCTGATGGAGGAAGTGAAAGGTCAGTTGTTAGGTGGAAGTGGGATAGGATTTCCTGAAGAGATGAGTTTTCAGGGATCACAATTATGGAGTAGGAGATAGCTGAACAGATTGGGGTATGGATTTCCTTAGGATGGAAGAGGTACTGGAGAAGTTCTGGAGGTGAGCAGGGAAGAAAGTGATGAGGGAGCTAGGAGAGTAGGAGGTCCTGAGAGAAGCGTAGAGGATGGTTTGGTAATAAGGCTGTTTTAATAGTGAAACAACATACTAATGAGTATAAGGCCATGCTCTCTCCTCCTATCATCCAGCTCAAGATAAAGTGTTCAATGCAGTAAAACTTGACTTGGCCCTTTCCTCTCCCAATTTGAATCCTGCTGTACAGGGATTACTTTTATGAATACATAACTTGGTTAAATGGGGTCCATTCTATATGTGGCTGCTTTAGGTTTGTGTTTTGCATTTAGGGACAAAAGTAGATGTTTGGGAAGCCCAGCTCTAATCTACTTTATATCTGGATTTCCTGTGTTGTTTTCCTACGTTCTGTCCATACAATTATGTAACACTGTGTTCATTATGCTATGCAGACAATATCTAAAAATGTAATATAATTTACCTATTATTTTGCAGCAAACTGCGTCATGCAACAACGGTTAGACAACGTGGACGATATTAAACGATTAGAAAGTGCATGTGCACATGGAGTAGACTATGGTAAGTCATAATATTATTTCATTTTGCAGCCTAAAATTTAATGCAGACACTAACAATGTGGGCCAATTGTAAAAATGTTACTATGCATCATTATAGCACAGTATATATTTGTGCCTTGGGGGTGGTACACAGGGCTCAACAGTACAGGAAATTAAGAGAAATCCCCCCAATAGGAGCACACACAGGAAAGGGAGTGGAAACTTCCTAACAGAAAAAGGGAGGTGAGAAGCGCTGCAAACCAAGTGGGAGAGCAGGGCGATTTTTATAGGAAGTGAGGGCTGGGAAAATAAGGGCAAGTTGTGATATATCACACATTTATGTTTTCTGGGTCATTCTGGAGAAATTGGATCCACCACTGAAGGTCGGGAATCACAACTTGCCCTTATTTTCCCAGCCCTCACTTCCTATAAAAATCGCCCTGCTCTCCCACTTGGTTTGCAGCGCTTCTCACCTCCCTTTTTCTGTTAGACTCACCCATCGGTCGGACACCCCGGTCTGTATGCTTCTGAAGCCGCTCAACTGAACAAGTACATCCAATATTATATTATATAGGACCCCCCAGATCGAGCGCTGTATCTCGGTATGCTGTCCTTGTAACTTTCCAGTGGAAACTTCCTAACCTATTCTCAGTCTAAAAGGTTGAGAAGAGACAGGGCACTCTATCTGTTTTATTGGATAGAATACTTTATTTCTGAGTTGTTCCTAAACATCTATTTATTAATATTTTCAGCAAGAGTCATTTAATTTTCACTCAAGAATTATTCTTTTTTTCTGAAGGAATGTTATGTGAAAACCTTGTGAAAATTGGGTGAATCTTAGACAAAAACAATAATAAATAGACTGGGCTATGTACTTTGTGCATTACTGAAACCTTAGTTGGGAGCTGATACTTTCTAACCTATTCTCTGTCTTAGAGATTGAGGAGGGAAATGGGACTACAAAGCATGCCCAGTCAGGGAGATGAACCATAGTCAGGGAGCTAAGAATGATCACCTGATTAGGAACAGGAACAGGGAAGATATTTTAGGAACTTTCAATAGAGGTCACAGATCGGCTATAGTATGAAGGATTGTCCCAATCTAGTCTATAGTCTATCGCAGAATCTATGAGAACCCCCACATGTGTGCTATTTCCCCTGAGACAGTATTCAGTCCACGATGGGGGTAAAGAACCACCCCATAGACCCTAAGAGACTGGGGATTCAAATCAAGGATCACTAGATCCATAGGAACAGCTGCACATCTCACCTAATGTCAGGACTCCCAAATGCCCAGAGGGAGGCTAAGGAAGACCCAAGAAGACTGAAGGAGAGGTCAATGTAAAATGAGCAAGTCCCCACAAACCCCACAAATGGGAAGAAGGGGGAGCGCTATGAACATTAGGGCACTAACTTAGATGGTCCAGAGTGCTTCAGCAAGTATATAAGCTCATCAGCCTCGCTTGTTGGTGACCAAAAGATACCAACACTAGACATCTGTAAGACCCCAACCAGTGTAAACTTGCAGGAGATGGGCCCTTCGAGAGAATTCTGGAAGAATCCAGAAAAACTAACCTTCTTCCAGAAAGGTCACCTGAGCATCCCATGATGGGGAATCCAGGGTGGAAAAAAGGTCCAGTGTAGTCAATACCTACAAATGCTCTTTTTGGACAATGAGGGATCAGGACCTGCTAGGGGAGAGAGCAGTGTTTACTGATCCCAGCTGACTCTGTAACTCAAGAGGAATTACTGAGGATCAATAGTGACCTTAGCATGGTCTTACATAGCACGTATTACTGTGGTTAAAAGTAGCGTCAGCTGGGAATTTTCGAGCTGGGCTTGGTGAACGCCATAATTTGGTAAAAGAGCTAAACTACAGCAATAAGAACTGCGACACCAGAATCCTGGCCAGATGAGAATTCTACAGATAAGTCTGACCAGCAGGATAAAAGGCCACATAAGAGGGGCACATAACTTCAGTTACCCTTTAAAATGTCAAATGTATCAAAATGTGGTAAAAGAAACTTTACATAATTGATTTTTGTTTTAATTACCAGTGTACAAGACAACACTCAGTGAAATCAAGGAGGAAAACAACTATTTCACCTATGTGATGACCATTACACTTATTATTAAAGAAGGTAATTAATGAAATACGAACGCTATGGAAACCTGTATATACAGTGTCCCTAGAGTAACAGCTGTTGTCTGTAACATACTTGTTGCCACTGCTTTTTATCCACTGTTTCATCTCAGTGTTACTGATCTCCTGCAGCTCCTTTGCAGGCACTTCCTGCCTATATGCACTCGCTCTAGGGATGGCTGTTCTCAGTGTGGCTTTCCTGATAGTGACAGCTCCGGATCATGCCTGTGCAGCATTGGCACAGCCAGTTAAAGTCTCAAATGGTAGCTCATTTGACAGAGTGACAATGCAGGTGCACAATTGGGAGACATAGATAGAGCGTTGTCACCTCATAACAGGAAGTGCCTAAAGGACCTTCATGACAGAATCACCGGGGATTATTTTAATGAAAGCTGCAAATTCGCAAACATTTGCGAAAATGACTTTTAAAATGACATTACCATCGTACAGCTTATATGATTTCATTGATCAGGTATGCAAACTTTATGGCTGTGTACTGCCCACAGGACTTTATTTTTCATGTGCATCCATTTTTCTATCACCAGGAACGGATGTGGTTCAGGTGAATGAGAAACGCGATTTTCTCAGCCATGCAAAGTGTCGTAATGCTCTAAATCTGGTGGTGGGCCAGGACTATATGGTGTGGGGAGTCTCCAAAGATCTGTGGAACCCCGGTGATGGGTAAGTGAAAGGAATACTTAATAAATCAAATATATACTTTATGTAAAGAGGAACTCCAGGAATTAACAAACTAACCCTTGCAGTGGGGCTACCCGTAGCCTCTTCTCCTCTTGGCTCAGGTTGCCTAAGCCCCACTGACGTCATCACATCTAATGCAAGTCCATTCACTTGCATTAGACGTGTGGAAACTGAGGGACATTCCACCGCTGGGAGAGAGGTGAGTTCTGACTGCTGCAGACCGTGGAATCTTCTGGACTCCGGCCCCAAGCACAAAATTAGCAGTTTTGAGAGAGATTGTTAGAGGGTTATTCACTAAAGAGCCGAAGGATCCAGCCGTAGCTTCGGCTGATCCTTTGGCTCTCTTCGGCCGCCTCTGCCCTTCGGTTCAGTTGAAACGAAGGGCTGCTGTAGGGCTATTCACTATAGCCCGTTCAGCAGCCACAGGTGGCTGAGCGGCACAGACGAGCCGAACACATATGCTTCGGCTCGACTGAGCCGAAGCGGGGCGAACGGCCTGCCGAATGCTGGTCTTTTGCCCCGCAAATGACAGCTGAAAGGAGCCAGCTGTGATCTCTCGCTGCGCCCAGTTGTTATGACAGATCGGCGTCCCCAAAAGACCAGAGGACGCTGTTCTGTCTTTAAACAATAACAACTGGGACAGAGCCGACCGTGAAGTCACGGCCGACTCCGCTCAGTTGTTATTCATTTGCCGGGACCTGCTAGAAGACTCTGGCAGGTACCGGCCAATAGGAATAGTTGGGCGGAGCTAGCTGTCACCGCTAGCTACGCCGAATTGTTTTTTTTCTTTTCTTTAAAATGTTTTTTTCTTTTCTTTTTTTACATTTAAAAAAAAATAATTTAACTTTTTTTTTTTTAATTATTCATTTCACTTCTTTTCTATACTGCTTGGTACTTCGGAGGTACCAAGGAGAATAACCAAGCCGAATGCCGATGTATGGCTGAAATCGGCCGTACTGAGCCGGAGTGAATAGCCGAACGTCATTCGGCCTACTTCACTTCGGCTGGGTTATTCACTCGGCTGCCTTTGGCAGCTTCGTGAATAGCCCTCCTAGTGTTCTGTTTGAGAGACTCCTCTTCACTTACCAACATGGTGGCAGTGGTTTCACAAGTGAGGGAAAATCTACAACAGAGACACAAACAGCCACAAAAAATGCATTTTTCCTAGAGTAAAGAAAAATTAGAATTGCCGCCAACTTTTTTATTTCTCATGTGTGGTGAGAAAAGACACAGACATTCTGTGATTGGAAGAGGAATGATGATGCCACATCCCTTCCGCCTCCTCTTCTCTTCCAATCACAGAAAAGAAAAAAAAAACCAAGGCATTTTGTGAATGGGCGAGTAGTGAGGAGGGGCGGGTGATGAGATTGGAGAGCTTCACTGCTCAAGTCGCACCTCTCCCTCTCCTCAGTGCCTGGGAGCTCGGTGTTATATGTATGCTGCAAGGTAAGATATGTTATAACAAACACCTTTATAATGATCATTATTGATCATTATTAATGATCATTATTAATTGCTCATAACAGCGTTCACCTGAAGAATAAACAACAAAAATTATGTTAGTTAGAGACTGGATTGTTGAAAGACAAAAAATGTTTTATTTGGGTATCCAAAAAGTCTCGTCTAGTTTAACATCAATTATCTCCTTTCAGGTTCTTCTACATGGTGACAAGGGACACTTGGGTCGAGAGGTGGCCAAATGCAAGGGAGTGCCAGCAACGTCAGTATTCAAAGCAGTGCGATGAACTTAACAATTTCTCAGATGAGCTGCAACTCCAGGGATGTCCTCAATAAACTGCACCATACCAACATCCTTTCATAGTCACTGTATTTCATATTAGGCTGATTTTACTACAATAAACAATGTTCTTTGTTCTACAGTTTGTTTTCAAGAGAGTTTTTGTTGGTGTCACATTGTCAGATATGCACATAAATCTCTGCAAATCATTTTAACAGACCCCATATTGAGAGGTAAATGTTGCATTGCTGATCTCTTTCTGAGTGCGAGTTTCCTGGCTGACCTCTGAGTCACTCACCTGGAAGGAGCATGCAAATTAGAAAGTCAGAATAAAGTCTGGACATCTTATTTGCATTCTTGTACCTCAGCAAGCATTAAAGCCATTGGATCAGCATAACAGCCTGTAGGCGGGGTTCACTCTCGGGGTAGCTCTACATAGTCCTAGGCCTGGTCCTGTCATTCCCATAGAATAAGTCTCTCTCCAGAGACTCTGCATACAGTCTTAGACTTCTGCTCTCCTGTACTGTTCTCCACTTTCCCCTCTCGGGCGCCCCCTATAAATCAACTCTACTGGGACACAGAGTCTCCTCAGGCCAGAGCTGCATCTATCTCCAGGGCCCCATGGGGGCATCTAGTGGCCATTGGCCGTACTGCACCTACCTACAAGCCGGTAGTTAGACTTCATAGAAGGAGAGGCCAAGGTTGGCAGATTTCCTTTTCTCTTAAACGAGTTGTAAAGTCTCATCATATAGTCTCCTGTTATAACATCAGCATTGTAATAGAAATACATACTACAGTTGTTTTTGATAATGCAATCAAAGCTTACCTGATAAAATCCCTTTTATGTAGGGATTAAAACCCCTTCCATCTGCCCATCACTTCCAACAACATCCTGGATTCCCAGTGTGCTTTGCGTCTCTTTCCCTGCTGCTTGATGGGTTTCGATCTCAATTTATCAAGACTACATATCCCATCATCTATTGATTCCAGCAAGCAGTGATAATGTTACATTGTGAGACGTTTAGACACGTCCCCTCCCCTTCTCTGCAGTACAAGTCTTTGTGGGGACACTTATGGGTGTGGCTATTACTCAGCTCTGCTATCTGAGAGCAATGGAGTGTGAGGGAAGGGAGCAGCATTTTTATTGAGAAAAAGTAGTGAAAAATCTATTAAGAGATAAAAAGCATGAAAGTTCAATTGGATTTTAATACATACAGCACTAGTTGTTTGCTTAAAAATATATAAAAAGTAATACATATGTGAAGATTACAATACCACTGCACACAGATCAGACTACTCTATAGAGAATCACAAGGAGTCCAGGCAGTTAGGAATGAATTGTCTGGCTCATTGCAAACTGGAGACATTTAAATAATGCAAATAATAAGCAATTTTACCGATTTACCACATTTCCATTCATTGTGCTTTTACCTAGTCATATCATACCACCATGCCCATTTTCGTGAAATCCTACCTACTTAGTCCTTACCCATAATTTCTTTTTTATTACTCTGGAGAACAATGTCACTTCAGGGCTGCCATGAAATAAGATCCACTTGGGGTTTATTGAAATGGATTGGAGTCGATCTCTCTACACAGCTCTGTAGCTCTTCCAAAAAGTGAGACCTTACTACAGTGAATTGCGTGTGTATGTGCTTGTCACATATGTTTCTTACAGTGGCTTGGTGGTTAGCACTTCTCCCTTGCAGCACTGGGGGGTCCTGGGGTTCGTATCCTGGTCAGGACACTATTTGGACACTCTAAAGTCATGCTGAAAGATTAATTGGCTCCTGTCTAAATCAGCCCTGTGTGCATTATAGATACCTTAGATTATAAGCTCCTTAAGGACATGGACTGATGTGAATGTGCACTATGTAAAGCGCTACATAAATTGTTGGGGCTGTATAAATAATATTAATAATAAAGAAATATAAACATAGTCATCCCTTTACATACACTGAGGAATCTTCTAGCAGCCAGGGCTAAATTTGTACCATTGTTACTGGAGGTGGTACCAAGCCCATGGTAAGTGCCTTGAATCCTGCAGGGCTGACCTGCACTAGACACTGCTCAGGCAAGCATCATGGGTAGGCATTGGAAATCAATGGCTTCCCTCATGTACAACAGGGAAGACTCACACAGACTTTTTCTCAGAACAAGTGCCCATAGGGGAGTAAAGTGTCTTTCTTTCTCTCTCACCAATATCTTACTCATCACATGACCATGGAGAAAGTAAAAGGGAACGTTTCACTTACTGTTGGGTGATCATTCTGAGGGAGGTCTGAAATGTAAGTGGGGGTTGAGTGGGTTTAGCATGTCTGCACAGTGCTCCCTGTACGCCCCACAGCCATCCACAGGACAGAGCCCCCTTTAGTTCCTCCTACTTACCTGTGTGAACATCAATGCAAATACAAGAACTGATTACAGATACAAATTAAAATTAAAAAGTATAGGTCACGTCTATAAAGACAAAAACTTCCCCACATATAGCCAAGAGCCAAATGATTGACTCCAGTCATCAACTAGATTGTCTGGAACCATGGACATAAGGTAGGTAAGTAATCGCTGATAAGATACCGGACAAGTAGATGATGCTCATGCTGAAGTCATACAGTTATGAAATCCCCTCTATCTACACATTGTATACCATCAAGGAGTGTATTATTGTCTTTACAACTTTAGGCTGTATATAGCCTCACATATGGTAAGCAGAAACTATTCAACTCGATGACAGATCACAGATATAGAGCCCTGAAGAGTTCCCCCTTAAAGTCTATACCAGACCCTCATCAAGCACACACAAAAAGGTAGAGCCCCCCACATCCATGCTAGACCATCATCTTGATGAGGGTGTGGTGTGGACTTTAAGGGTGAACCCACCAGATAGACACACACACAAAGAGGCATGCTTCCCCCAACATCCATACCAGATGCTTATCCGAGCATGCAGTTTGGCTGGCCAGGAAGGGTAAGGGTGTGGTATGGACTTTAACCACTTGTTGACCGGGGTATTAAACCCCCTGCCTGGCCAGGCCATTTTTCAGTATTCAGCGCTGCGGGACTTTGACTGACATTTATTCCGTCATACAACGCTGTACTGAAATTAAATTTATACCATTTTTTAGGGACAGATAGAGCTTTCTTTTGGTGGTATTTAATCATCACTGAGGTTTTAATTTTTTACTATATAATGAAAAAAGAACCAAACATTTTGAAAACAAAACTGTTTTCCCTACTTTATGTTATAAAACATTTATCAGCACCCAATTTTTGGGTAAAATATAAAAAACGAGGTCATGTTGGGTATATAGACACCAAACATGTCAAGCTTTAAAATTGCGTGCGCCTGCGAAATCGCGAAAAAACTACCATGCCTAAAATTGGCCATAAAGCGTATAACACTAAATTGATGAGCGGTCATCAATTTAGTGTTATCAGTGATTATCAGTAGTTTATGGCCCTAGAATTATTGCTGTCACTCCGACAGCAATAAAACATTTTTTTAATGTGGTACTCTGTTTTTTTTTTTTTACACTTAATTTGATCGCTATCACATAGGGGGCTTACAGTCCCCTATGTGATAACCGATATACACTGATAGACTCCTGATGACTCCATAAAGAGGACCTAGGACCCCTAATATCCCAGCCCGGGATAACCGGCAGCGACAGGGAGGGGGTAGCGGCAGCATGGGGGGGACACAGATCTGCTGCCAACTGAAGGCCACACTATGGGAAAAATTATACTTTAAAAGCTACGTGATATGTGTGGAGGGCGGCAACAGAGTGTAAATATCATACCTTGCAGCACGCCATCCCCTGCACATAACCAATTCGCAACACCACCCTGCACACCCCCACATCCTCTACGGGGCCAGACGTAGTAGATGAGGCCTTTGTCCTCATCAACATGGACAAGCTACGTTGTCTGGTATTGTTCAGGTGGGGGGTACACACTCACCACACCCAATTTCCTAAAATACTTCTTGCCATGGGAAATCTTGATCAACCATGCAGAAAAAAAATAGGATTGTGCAACTGTGTGTGTTCAAAGTTCTCAGACCCACTGTCAATAGAAAACCATAGTTACAGAGATATTGTCAAGTTAACTGATGCATACCAATGCTGCTACACTTGGTCTGGGTACCTAAGCTTCAAAATTATCTGGTCATAAAAGGGTTTACATTCATACCAGACCCTCAGCAAGGGTCTAAAATGGATTTTGGGGGGATCCCACACTGCTGTATTTTTGTGTGGACTTCCCCCTTTAAATCTGTATCAGACCCATATCTAGAATAAAGGGCTGGTGTGGATTTTGGGAGGACCCTACTTTTTGGGGGTCCCCCTACTAAATCATACCAAACACAACATAGGCCTAGAGGTCACAGAAGAGAAAACTGACCTGAGTTGTGTTACTGGACTTTGTGAACGGCCTGGGAGGGATGGGGGAAACTCGGCTTGTAAGTCTCCTCTGCCACACCTTGCTGTAGATAATCAGCTTCACTTCAATATCTGCTCTGGTGTGTGTATGGGGGGGTGACAACAAGTATGCTCTCATGCTGTAAAACCTTTCTGTAACTCTGCTCTAATTTATTGCTTTATTTCAATAGTTTTTTGCCTCTTATGTACATATTATACTTAGTAGGGGAGGTCTGGTGGAGCCTACAAACTGTACTGGTTTTTGGGTATTGATTTGTATTTTATTGTACACTCTGGACCTATCATATAAGCACCGCCCACTTTTTTGCATAATTTGACCATGCACCCGGCTCTACCCACAATCTCAAGAACTGTGATTTTCCAAAGTTCTCAGATATGCATTGGAGCATATCTACTGTTACTACCCTGTCTTAAGTAGGACTATAATCACCCTGTCTTAAGTAGGAGTGTCCAGAGTTGGCTCAAAGATTCTACATTCCCTTAATTTGGACTCTACAATATCCTGGGTGTCCTGCGCTCTAACCCTCTCTCCTGCAATTGTTCAATAAAAGTTCAGCAAGTAAAAGGTCATCGGTCTTGAAGTCAGTTTGTTAGTCACCACTGGTGTGGCTGTAAATGCTTTT